CTCATTTGATCTTGTAGGTGACCCGCCAAGAAGCAGAGAAACTGGCTGGGGCGTATGGGATGCGCTATGTTGAGACGTCAGCCCGTGACGCCATCAATGTGGAACACGCCTTCACTGAGCTGACCAGAGACATCTTCGCCCTGGTTCGGTCTGGTGACATCACCATCCAGGAGGGCTGGGAGGGTGTGAAGAGTGGGTTTGTGCCCAATGTGGTTCACTCATCCGAGGAAGTGACCAAGAGTGACCGCCGCTGTCTCTGTTGATCTGGGAAGACTGAAGATAGGGGAGTGAAGTGGATCAGAGAGGGGTAGCTGACGGACTGAGGTGTCAGCCCTCTGACTGAAAACTGGTGGTAACCCTCGTTGTTCTTTCTTAGAAAAGACACAGAAAGGGATGTTTGGCATATTTTAACAAAAAGGCTGGTAGATCATGGAGAAGAACACCTTGAATGTGGGTGTAAGACTAAAAATGGTTGCGCCCATTAAAGATGCTCATTTGAGGGCTCCCTTTTCTTTTGTTTTGGGCTTCTTTCCTGAATAAACCTCCCTTGCAAAAGCCTTAGAAAGATGATCCATTTCATGTTTCTTCCTCCGTTTAAGTCTTCGGTCACCTCTCTGCTCCCTAGCCTTCTCCTCTCAATATGCAATTACACGATCGCACTGAAAGCTATCACTCCTACGTTAGTGTCCAACATCTTTTTCAGCATTTTCAGTGTAGTGTACTTAGATTCAACCTCATTGATTATTTGATTAGCATCTACAGTACTGTGCCAAAATCTTGAGTCAGCCTAATGTTTTAAATATTGTGTTTGGAAAATAGGAAATAGTTGCAATAATGTCCTAAAATGTGCAAATACACAATCCCAAGACTATCCCACTCTGCTTCAGTTATGTTAAGATCCGTGCTCTGGGGAGGCCAGTCCATGACTGATATTGCTCCACTGTGTGCTTTTCTATCCGGGTATATTTGTACTGCATAGGAAGTGCTTTTGGGATCATTGTCATGCTGAAAATGCAGATGCTTTCCAGATGATATTGAGTGGTGGATCATAGCATTTATTTTGACAAAATCTCCAACACCACTGGCTGGAATGCAGCCCCAAACATGGCAGAGCCTCCATCATGTTTTACTGATGGCTCTTGGCACTCACTGTTGTACTTCTCTACTGATGTCCTTTGCACATGTGAGAATTTGAACCAAAAATGTGAAATTTGGATTCAAAGGTCAATAGTTCAGTGGCTTAACAACAACCCCCCCACCCCTGAAAGACCTTCAGAAAGGCTGGACAACTATTGCTCGAGACCACATTAAAAAATGACAAGAAAATCTGGCTCCATGAAAGCAAAATATAGAGAAATGAGAGGCTACTCAAGATTTCTGCACATTACTCTATCTCCATTTTCAACCATCAAAGCTCAATGGAGACGTCCTGGAGGTCCTAAATATATAAAACGTGATTTTGTTGCTATTTTATTTGACTTTGAAGCAGTTTAGGCCTCCTGTAAGCTCAGTGACATTGACTACATGGTTACATCCACTATCATTTTGCTAAACACCATACTGCACATCCAGTTTCTAATGGACTCCTCAAGCAAGAAAAGTCAACGTGTACAGCTGTGTAACCCAGGTGGATTCTTGTAAAAATTTTGTGCTGGTTTACCTTTCAATGAGACACTTTTTAAGGTGGATTAACAGGAGCGAAATGGAGCCAAACAGCACCTTAGTAACCAAGTTCGTCTTAAATGTGGTACCATTTGGGGCATTTGAAGAAGGAAAACAAGCGACCTAGGCAAAAGAAACAGATACATTGGAAAGAGATGCATTGAAGGGAAATGGACTCCACAAAAGAACCACATTACCCACAATGCAAGACGAGACAGACAGAACTGAAGCTTCTAATACAGGGGATACTATTTTTTTTTTCTGAGCAAGTAGTATACAATTTTTTTAATGTGTGTGGGTAAGTGTATCATATCTAACTTTTGTTTTTAATTTAACACAAAGCTTCAAGTGGATGTCACTGCCATGATTACTTGAGTTATACTATTTATAAGATGGCCATGAGGGTAGATTTAAAACAAAGGGGAACATTTGAGATCTCAAATGACTATATTTCAAACAGTCTGAATTTGAATGTGGATATATAATCATTAAAATGTTGTTAAAATATGTTTATTTGTGACCTAGAGGTTTAAGAGCGTGAAGTTTTAGCCACATTTAGCCCAATTTTACTATAATTTTAATCTTGATGCAAAATTCAGTATTTGTGGGTTACTTGAATGATTAAATCACAGCTGTCTGCCTTATGTTATATTTATTTTTAAGGGATACCTTTAGTAAATTTCTTTAAAAGGCTTAAATAGTAAATAATTACATCATCATTAAGACCAGAGGTACAGCTACTTTGCCATGAATGGAAATACTGACCTAACTACAATAACAAATTTTTATTTCTGCACATTTTTGTACAACTTAAGCGAGAAATAAGATGTTAACGTTTTGCACAGAGACTAGCTTTCACCCTATTTTGACTGCTAAGCTAAGCTAACAGCTGCTAGCCTCATCGGTCCTTTGACTGAACATATTCTGCAAAAAAACCCGATTGCTTTTAAAGTAATTTTACTCTTGAATTAATATTATTATTTTACACTATTACAGTTTTTTTTTTAAAATACCAGACAACAAACAAAACAGTGAGTAGAGAAAATCAGCAGGCAACTTTCTAGCCATTTATATGTCATGTTCTGCAGAAATCAGCACTGGACTAAATATAATACTCTGCTTACCCTGACCTACATACCCACACCAGTCACTTTGTTAGGTACACTTGTTCAGATACCCGTTAATGAAAATATTTAACCAGCCAATTGTGTTGCAAAAATGCAATGCATTTTAGGTGTGTAGACATGGTCAAGACAACCTGCTAAAGTATAAACTGAGTGTGTTAATAAAATAAAGATATCTGATCCCAACATAGGGTTGGAGTTACATGTTAGACTGCCTTTAGTGTGCACTATGAGAATGGGAGAGAAAGTTAATTTGACTTTGAACATGGCATAGTTGTTGCTGCCATGTAGACCATCTGATTATTTCTGTTGCTCTACTGAGTTTATAGAGATTTTTTCTCATTGTGGCGGTGCGTCCGCCTCCTCTGCACGGCACCGCAGGCCACGCCCCGCCACACTCATCAGAGAAAATATCCAGTGAGCTTGAGTGAAAATGCCTTGTTGAAGTCAGAGCTCAGAGGAAAATGGACAGACTGCTTCGAGCTCACAGGAATTCAACAGTAAACCACCCGGTACAACCAAAGGATGCAGAAGACCATCTTTAAATGATCAGTGTGGAGTACAGCAGCAGAAGACCACACTGGCTGCCATTTTTGTAGACTAAGAACAGTAAGATAAGGTTACAATTCACACAGGCAAAGTTAGATGATAGAAAATTCGAAAACTGCTACCTGGTCTGATGAGTCTTTATATCTTTTGTGAGATCCGTATGGTAGGGTCCCAATTTGCCATAAATGACATGAAAGCATGGATCCACCGTGCCTTGTTTTAACGGTTCAGACTGGTCGTCGTGTAATGGTGTGGGGGATATTTTCTTACAGTTGTACAATGAGATACAGAGCATCTCCTACTCAGTGCAAACATGCTGGGGGGGGGGACACAGTTCTGCAGCACTATATGCATATGGATAGTTATGGATAGTATTAACAGAGGGAAGTAGTAGTAGGGGGGATGGAACACCACGGCCCACCTGAATACTGTTACTGACCACGACCATCTCTTCTGATGGCTGCTTCCAACAGGATAACACAGCATGTCACAAAGATCAGATCATCTCAAACTGGTTTCTTGAACATTTCAATGAGTTCACGGCACTCAAATGGCCTCCATAGTCTCCAGATTTCAGCCCAACAGAGCTCCTTTGGGATGTGGTGGAACGGGAGATTCTCATTATGGATTTGCAGACGACAAATCTGCAGCAACTGTGTGATGCTGTCATGTTAATATGAACCAAAATCTCTGAGTACTGTTTCCAGCACCTTGTTGAATCTATGCCACGAAGAATTAAAACTAGGGAGGTGTACCCAATAAAGTGGCTGGTGAGTGTATATGAGTGTAATTAAAGCCATTTTAAACACGGAGAAGGAACATATAGACGGTTATAGGGTTCTTAGCAATTAAATGTACCTTAAAATATTCATCTAAAGAACCTGGATTGTTTGGTGTACATGTAGATATCTATATATCATTTTTAAAAATTTCCCTTTTTTTCCTCTCTGTCTCTTCTGTGTAACTAGGATGCTGCTGTAGATGTAGGAAACTTATGGTTTGATTAAATGTTTTACTCTGGTTGTCTGTAACCAGATATACATTCCTGCTATGATCACAGCACTGATTATTCTTTTTCTTTTGTTTTTTAAATGAATGAGCATTACAGTCCTCTGTCGGCCAGTGAGGATAAGTATATGTCTTCATTTTCTCACATTGTATGCCTTCTTTTTAAGTGTTTCCAAAGAGTTTTGTGTCTGTCATTTTATTTTTACATGAATGTATCGTTAAGGGGGATTTTACACTGAGTTGTCCTATTAGAGTAATAATTTCGAGTCAAAGCAAAACACTCCTCTGAAAGCTTTGAAAAGTGATGTACATGTTTTGAGAGTTTATGAGAAACTATTCTAATTATAATAACCCATTTCCACAGCTATACACACTGCATTATTCCTCATTGAAGTGAGTGAAATGCTGTCGCCAGACGGAAAAGATCGATCTTCAGAAAAGTCCTTACAGGAATAATAAAAAACGCCTGAGCGCTCTCTCCCTGATGTCCTCCTGTTTTTGAAATGTTTCATCTCACAACCGCTTTAAGAAGTGTTTCCTTCCTCTGCCTTGCTGAATCATTAGGGACTGGAATTGAGAACCGGTTCTTGTAGAAAACTGGTTCCCAGTAGTCCAAGTCTGCCTTTCTATCGTTCCCACATATTGGTTCTTGCACTCTTGCCATGATCATCTGATTCCAGTTCGCAGATCTTTTCTCTTCTACTAAGAGAAAGATCTTAGAGATGTGTGTCCTCATTAGGGATTTGTGTTGGTATGTGGGGTCTACTCTTATGTTATTACATCATCATTAAGACCTTTACTCTTTACAGAGTAAAGGCCCTTTCACATCGGACACAAAATTAGCGTGGCACTGGCCGCTGTGCTTTGCTTGTATGTATTTTTTTGTGGAGGCTCTGCGTGTACTAGATGCGCCCGCTACTTGTCATTTCAAAACATGTATCGCTCTGCCTTTGTATCCTCTACGAGAGTTTGTGTTGTATTATGCTCAAAGTTCCCAAGAGGATTTCATTGAGTCGACAGTTTAGAAGGTTTTCGTGGGTTTTAGTCTCCTGTGTGTGCTGCTCCTCCTCATGGGTGCCGAAAGCTTCGTCAGCAGATGCTGTCTAGCTTTTAGACCGGCATGACTGGAGAGACAGAGTACAGGTTTTCATCTACTTCCACATGAAGAAGAGCATAAAGTCTGCAGGTTACAGCTCCAGCACAGTTTGTCTTATACTCTCACGATGATCTTCATGAAGCTGAAACATGTCAATTAAATCAATTATATATAATACAAATGTTGCTGGGCTTTACTGAATAATGTCTGATAGCCTGGGAGCCAAAAAGAGCCCAAGCTTTGTGAAAATTTCCAAAGAAAGAAAGAAAAACGAGAGAGAGCATACATTTTGGACTTTTAGCTGTATTTTCCTCAGTTTTGCAGTTCTTATTGAAGAAAAAACACTATTCTGTTATATAACAAAAAACATCCAGTTTTTTCACTATATACTATTGAATTTTATTACGGTTTTCTGTAGATTCACAGCACAAGTTATTTTGCAAAATAAAATAAATTTTATATTTTGTAATTATAGGACAAAGTCTGGGTAAGAGCTGCCTGCACTTTTTCTACAATTAAGCCAAAAGAGTGGGACTGACTTTTACTACAGCAGCGTTATAACTGTGGAACAACTGTGATGCATTTTTGAAGCTGTGCACATTTTTCTTAAGAAGCTTCATGCTGTTCACAATCAGTTTTATAAATAGGTGGTTTATTATATTTAATGTACAGCTGAACTTCTTCCCAGTAAACTTATTAGACATAGTTTTAGCTGTCTGGACCGCTTAAGATTAAATTTGGCCTGACTTTGATACGCCTGTCTTACAGCATTAAAACACTTTGGGAGGTGTGCATATTTTCTCCTAAGCTGAGAGTTTAAAGAGAAGCTAGATGAAACCACTGCCAGCTGTCTGTTGGCTGAGCCAGAATAAATTTTTGGAAGCAAGGACTTGGTGACAAAACACACCCTCTTCTTACCAACTCGGACCATCCTGTTTCCAGTCTTTATGGGGGAACCCTTTAAGATCATCTTCACTGTCCAGTTTAATCAATATGTCTTCAAAAATACAACCAAACCCTCCTGGGTGGACAAATTTTTCTCACTTCCTATGCTGGACAAAACCTTTTACAATAAAAATCATTTTTTTCATTCTTAACTTGCAGAAAGTGTGAAATCTACTGTAATTTCTTTTTCATGCTCCACATTTGTGGTCTTTTAACATGTGAGACTTTCTAAATGTTGAAGGTTATTGTAGGCTTACAGCTGAAAAGAGCATCCACGCTCTTTATCTCTAAAACTGTTTCTTTTCAATAGAAGGACAAAAAAGTGTAATAAAGACCAAAAAGGCACGTTCAATTTTAGTCATTACTCCCAAAGAGAAGTCATTTTCCGGTAAAACATACGCTAGTGTGTGAAATAAGCAGTAACACAGGCTTTATGTTAGTAGCCTCTTCTTTCCTAGAAGTCCACAAGGCTCTTGTGGTCTGGAAGTGTTTTTTAATGTTTCAGTGCTAGTTTGACCTGCAGCCTGTGAGTGAAGTAATTTACTTTCCTTTTCCGGCTCCGACACACACTC